CTGGAGGGAATCAATTAATAAAAACAATTAATGAAATTAAACTTTACTTTGAGATTTGTGATTTCTTTTTTGCAGACTTTTCTCAGGTTTTGTTATTTAGTATTTTCTTTGTAGTTGTAAGGAAAATAGCACTTAGATTATCCTCAGTCTTAACACAAGGCAAAGACATGACAGAGATTTGTCTTTCAGTGATAAAACTAGCAAAAATAGAATGCTTATGATAACCCTGTCTTTGAAAAACAGTAAAAAGCCCCCCAAGCTCCATGAACATGTTGCAGACTGCACATGTCACATAACTAAGGACTACGATTTTTTTGCCTGAGGCTCCCACGTTTAACAAAGGGAAACACTGCTTTCAACAAAAGATGCTATTCTAGTTATGTGGCCTTTTACCCTGTCAGAGAAACAGCTGGTATCATAAAGTCACAGCTAATTTGTATCATGTCTGCACTAACAGTCAGATTCAGTTTGTATCAAACTTTCAAAGTTGGACTTAATACCAGTTGATGGATGACAGCTTTTCTTGCCCCTCCTTCTCAAAACATATTTAAAGATTGCCTCCCACATAAAAAAGCCCTCAATATTCAAAATACAAATGGAATCTTTAACATGTTTCACGTAACCAGAATATATGAAAATGTTTAAAACTACTAAATTAAAAAAAATCCTAAAGAAGGTTGAGACAATTGCACCAGCAGTTCTGAAGTTCTGTGAAAAATAAATAGTGCTTTAAGACAGACATGTGGGTACCAAGTGTAACGGAAAAGAATTTTCTCTCAAAAAGAAAAAAAAAAAACTCACAGCTTACTTGCCTCAGGTAATCTCTTGCAGTTTGGGGTATCTGTTCACCTAAAAAAATTCAGTCTGCCTGCACAGAATTTAAGGGCTTTTTTTCAAGGTCAGCACTCAAAAATTTACGGAAGACCAATTTCTTTTTTCTTTTTTTTTTAAGGGACCTGTTTCTCATTTATGCTATTAAATGTCATCTACTTTCATTTTAAGACCCCTGAAGCAGAATGCCTGAACTGTGTAAAGGGACTTTAGTGAAAGTGAGAGTCAGGCCAAAGACTTAACAGCTCCAAACCCGCAGCGCTCGTGTGAGAAAGTGCTGCAAAGATCAGGCTCTTCTTGGAAAACAGGCACGGGGGAACTTCCAGAGATTGGAAGTTCAAGCTCAGTTCAGATAAACATCTAACAGTGCTGGTGCACTTCTGAGGCTACCCTCCTCAGCACCTGAGTCTACAACATGAGCTGGAGACAAGATATTCTTTTGAGATTTTAGCTACTTCCCACTTCCAGATCATCTAGAAGTATTTGACCAAGGCTTTTCCATCCCATGATCTGAAAGCATCACCAAAAGGTAGGCAAGGAAAAAATCTCACAACATCCTGGGAAGTAGGGAAATTTTTATTTTTAAATTTTTTTTTTTAATGCTGCACAGTATAATGATTATCAGTGTTCTGAACAATTGGCCCCATTTATCAGAAAGAGATTGGTCTGCTCCGTAAACTTACGTACACCAAGCAAAGAACATCCCTGGAAAGTTCAAAGCAGCAGTATCAGCAACACAGTTTTAAAGTGACAGGAGAGCTTATTGTAATGGAGCTGAGAAAGAGCAGTTGTCAACAAAGACTGAAGAATCCCAGCTCCCAGCCTATCCTTCCCTCAGCACACGCATTTCCTGCCTTAGAAGGTTAATATTGCACAGAAGACAGTAAGATACAGCTTCTGCTGTGCCTAAGCTGCGCTTGGCACTGCTGTCTGATGTAGTCCTTGCCAGCGAACAGAGCCAAAGCACAGCGTGCTCCTGCCACATCCTCTCCAGCGAGCTATATCTGCTCTCTACCTACTGGGAAGATGCAGATAATCAACTCCACTCCCTTCACTCTGAGCACAGCAGTGACTCTGCCCCTACACATGATCCTTGTACTTGTTCGGATTATTTTGTTGCTTTTTTTTTTTTTTTTTTAAGATGTTCTTAAACCTCTGTCTGGCAAGGCATGGTTTATTAGAAGCAGATTTCTCTTCGACTACTCAGTGTGTCAGTTTTACAATTCCTAGGTGGTGTAATTCCTGGAAAATAAAAAATGTTCTTCATCCAAAATTTTGGATGAATCACAGCAGGTTTACTTGTTTTGGTTCACCCTTAAATGAAGCATAAATTTCTATATCTAAATGATGCAGTGGTTTTCTTTGTTTCAGCTGCCTGTTAGCTCCAAATTTCTTAAAAGCAATGAGTTTTCTAGCAAATGATGCCCACCAATTGGGCTCGGCAGCCAAAGGCAGCCACCACATTTTCATGGGACTGTGAATTGCATCAGGAAGATCAATGCTACTATTTCCCATGCTTGATCCCCTGGTATTAAACTAAACAAAACTCAAACAGTTGTCTTTAACACCTCTTCAAGAATGCAACGCAACTCAAAACCCACCAGGTTCTCATCTCTCACAGAAGAGCTTTTACGAAAAAGTGCCCCAGCTGCATGTACAGGTCACCTGAAGTCCCAGAAGCTACAGAGAAACTCAGGCAAGATTGAGTGCTGCACCTCCTCTTCCAAGCAGCAGAGAGGATAGATGAGAGAAGGAAGAACCTATGCTCATCTCAGTCTAACTCATCACAAAAAAGCCATAGAAAAATATCTTCAGAGACTCTACAGAAATGCTTTCAGTCTTGAATATTTAAGAGAAAACCGGTCAAAGCATTTCTTACTCAATGTTTCCTAATGGTGAACATCTTGACTTAACAAAATGTATGTTTCCAAGGAAGATAAAAAACAATCACCACTAGCCAGTGACTTTGAACCTTAACTTATAGGGTACCACTTATTTTTTGAAGTATTTTATATAAGCATGTCTCAGATTGTCTTCCACAGTCAGATTTGGCTGTATTCAAGAACTAACAGAAGAGTAACAAGACTGTCATGATAATACTAAACTATATTACTGCTTTTTATACTCAGATAAAGACATATGCCTTGTTTCCAGTACTTTACAGAGATAATACTTGGTTTTTCTCCTTTCCAAATGAGCATATTAGTCCACACCATTTGCTTTACATTTTCTAAAGGCAACTAATGGCCTTTTTCATGGTATTTTCATTCATGTCCCCTGAAGACTATCCTCCTATTCGGCCAGCTTTACAATGTGAAAGAGGAGGTTAAGTGGGAAAGTATTATCAGACTTTGCCTTTCCTTCTTTGTGACATAATTCTTCCACCACTTTGACAAGTGCTATGCAAGCACCATGGAGACTTCAGCATGAGACAGATGACACTCGCCCTGCATCCTACACTTGGAGTAGATGAATGAGTCCCTGAAGGACAGATTTTCAGATGCAATTTATGCATCAAGATAAGACACCAGCACCAGCTCAGAAACACACTGAAGCACAGTCTCAGTTTTGAGGGACTGAAGTGCCTTCTTTCAACACCACAGTCTGCATGCTCAGACATGTCTGCAAATACAATTCCAGTTGCTGAGCTGTCAGAAAAACTCTGGAGGGCAGTCACTGCTCTCTCTGAATATCCTGTCCTAAGCACAGGGGGAGAGCACTTGCGTTTCTGATCCCATTTGCTTTTGGACACTATGGCCTCCCTCTCCTTGGGTCAAATTTTTAAGGCATTTAGGTACCTCATAAATGCACCATGCAAGGAAGCATGTGGGAACTTAAATTCAGTGATCTCACTGGAAGAAGTATTCCATGGGAAATTTTAGAACATTTAGGCTGGTTCTGAATAAGGAAGAAATCCTAATTTTAGAATATCAACATTTCCTACAAACTGGAAATCCCAGATTGTATCTGGCTTCAGTCTTAAGTACTCCCCCCACAAAGGCTCGAAAGCAATGCAGAACTCCAAAATGGCAACCAGGGCAGAGAACTGCCTGCAACAATTATCAGTGCATTCAGCATTTGCACAAACCTTCTCAGAATTGTAGGCAAAGTTAAATTTGCTTCCCCAAGGATGATAACAAGAACAGCTAAAATGGGCCCAGACCCAGCATTTCTGATGGTGGGGGGGAAGGCTGCTGGAAATGAAAGGCAATGCAACCAGCGTTCAGCCTGCCACCATGCCTCTCTCCTCCACACTGCTCTTGCCAAAAAGAAGGGAAATGGAGCAGAGGTACAGAGGAGGTCCAGGCACACAGAAAACATGGTCACTCATCAGTGAAAATAAGCAGTTCGCTGTACCTGAATTAACTGAAGATGATGGTATCTAAGGGAGTTGCCTTGACCCTGGTGCAATATTTCTGACCCCATCAGTCTGTTGTCATAGGCACTGCTTAAACATAGAGCCAGTCCTCAGTTTGTCTCCTGTCTGGAATTTCCGTATATTGAGGGGCTAAAGTTTATACACATTATAAACACTTCCTTTAAATGGTTTGTGAGTCCTCACTTGTTCTGGCAGTGAAAGAACAATGTTTGTAAAAAACGTCAAAGTCTTGCACGTTGTAAATAGTCAGTAAACACCGTTACTTGAACTCTCACAGACTCCTCAGAGCCTGCTTGCTCTAAAAAGAACAGAAGACACAGCAGGACAGTAACACACAAACACATGATCTTAACACAAGTAAGTATGACTTAAGACTCCTGTTGCAAGCAAAAAACTTTCTGAAATCCAGCCAAGAAATAAATATAGCTATTAGAAGAATGCCCATACACCCACAAAATTATTACTGTGAAATTCAAAGATTTCTATTTGATTTGAAGATAAAATTCAAGATAAAATCCTTTAAATCTGCTCTTAGTTCTGAAGAAAGTAATCCCTGGTGACAGTGGCCCCAGATGAATAGGAGTCAAAAGTCTGATTGCAGGGCTGTCCACTGATTTTCAGAGGGATTTGGATCAGCCCCCCAAAATCAAGCAAGTACATGGGGGGCGGAGGGAGGTAGGCAAATCCAATATAAAAGCTTCAGTATGAAAAAAACCAAACCTCAATACAGAAAAACCTTCTGAATACCACAGGCAAGGAAATCTGAGGTAACTACTTTGATCATACTCACAGGAAGGCAATCAGAGGAAGTATTTGGAGCTTTTCAGTAACAAACCAGCTGCTGATGAAATAAAAATGATGACTCCAGAAAATAGAGGTGATCACTGTACAGAAATAGAAAATAAAAAACATTGTTTACCAATGGCATAATTGTTGTGCACTCTTCGTTTTTCTTTGGTAAAGTCATCTTTAACAACACTCCTACAAAGGTTTTTTAAAGTATGGAATAAACCAGAAAAATTTTGCAAGAGACTGACAAAACCCACTATCAACAGCTCTATAAATTAGAGTTTGACAAAGCAGACTTTGATTTCCCAAAATCTCTCAGCAAAGTCACTTACTAAAACCTCTTTAAGAAGTGAAGCTGATACAGGCTAAGCTGAACATTCTCTTGTGATTAGTAAGAGATGAAGCAAAGCATCAGACCAGCAGTGAGTTTTCATAACAAAGCAAGATTTCCAAAGTACCTCACTAAGGATCTATACTGAGACCTGTAGTATTCAACATATTCATAAAGGCACTCTGCAAAACCAGATGAAGAGTGAGAAGACAAAGACTGTAGGCAATACAAAACTATTCATTATCATAAAAATCTAAAGTCAATACAAAGAACTGGGGAAAGAGTTCATAGTAAAGGATTTCTATGGGCAGACTGAATTCAGTGTTCCTAAGTAAAGGTACAGGGAGGAAAAACCTTATATCTGCATATGTACAGTGATCAACTCTAAATGAGCCAATAACACTCAGAAAAGACATATTGGAGCCTGAGGAAGAGCTATCTGAAAATATTAGCTGACTAGACAGCAGCTGTCAAAAGGCAAGTTAAGAATCATTAGGGAAAAATCTAAGTTCTATCTAGGTCACACATATAAATATAAGGTATATCTATGCTTCAGTTTTGCATGAAGTTCTGGTTACCCTTTCTCAAGAAGAGCCCCAGTAAGGGACACCAATAACGATCAGAGCTATGGCACAGTTCCCATCTAGGAGACTATCTAGAGTATGAGTCTTCCATTTGAAAAAGAGAGATGATTGAGGCACGATATGATAAAGGTCCTGAATAGCTTTTAAACAGTAAATGTTGTTTATTGTTGTACAAGAACTACGATTCAAGAAGGAATTAAAAAAAAAAAAAGGAAGATAGTTTCATCATCTATGAGATATCATAGTCTGAATGTGACCTCTAGCTTAGAAAGTCCCAAAGCAAAGATTGCCAGACTCTGGGAGAGCACATAATAGGAAGAGTCATTCCACACTCATCTGCTTTCACCTGCTTTACTGTAAGTGACTGTCTCAGTCAGACATAGGATATTAACCTAGGTGGGCCCTTGCTCTGACCTGGCATGACAACAATTCTATAAACGTCAATTCAGAGTGCAGGACAAATGAGGTGCCACCCTTATACAAAGACAGTACAACAATTTGTGGGTGATCTAGTGTCCTGGTTTCAGCTGGGATAGAGTTAACTGTCTTCCTAGTAGCTGGTACAGTGCTATGTTTTGAGTTCAGTATGTGAAGAATGTTGATAACACTGATGTTTTCAGTTGTTGCTCAGTAGGGTTTAGACTAATGTCATGGACTTTTCAGCTTCTCATGCCCAGCCAGTGAGAAAGCTGGAGAGGCACAAGAAGTTGGCACAGGACACAGCCAGGGCACCTGACCCAAACTGTCCAACAGTGTATTCCATACCATGGGACGTCCCATCCAGTATAGGAACTGGGAAGTGGGGGTGGGGAATCACTGCTCAGGGACTGGCTGGGTGTCGGTCGGCAGGTGGTGAGCAATTGCACTGCACATCATTTGTACATTCTAATCCTTTTATTACTACTGTTGTCATTTTATTAGTGTTATCATTATCATTATTAGTTTCTTCTTTTCTGTTCTATTAAACCGTTCTTATCTCAACCCAGGAGGTTTACGTCTTTTCCTGATTTTCTCCCCCATCCCACTGGATGGGGGGGGAGTGAGTGAGCGGCTGCGTGGTGCTTAGTTGCTGGCTGGGGGTAAACCACGACATCTAGTAGAAACTCATAATGGATACCAGGAAATACAGTAAGAATGAGCTTCAATGAAATGGGTTATTTTTTCCCTGAAGACTCACTCTGCATTCAACTACCACTAGGTAGTATACAGACCCACCAGAGTAAAAATAAAAACCGTAAGCTTTCTTCAGGGAGCTTTGAATGGTCCATCCTCTTTAGACCCAAGGATCTTCATACAGAACATCCTGGTGCCAACAGAGGAAATGGATTATTTAAAAACCACTGAAGCCTATTTTCAGTAATTTAAGATCATAGTATGGGGCCATTACTTGTATTAATTTCTGATTATTCACTGGAAATTCACAGACTTTTGAGGACTCTTGATGTAAATGACTATTCAGCAACTTCAAAAACAATTCTACAGTCTCATCTCTAGGTTTTATAGACACCTGTTAGTGATTCATATTATTGAAAACCCTACGGTGGCCAAAGACAAGATTTTGATTCATTCCATTAGAAGTTTCAGTATTAGATTCGAAAGAGATCTCAATCCCCTTTTGATGCTTAGTGTTACTAAGCATGTATCACATAGCAGAAAAGAGCAACGGAAGAGGACATTCATAATCATCAAGGTCTGAAAAGAGCCACCGAGCTTCAAGTCATCTTCCTCTCATCAGTTACTCCCACTTACAGCAAGAGTATGCTGGGCTTTATCAGTCCACAGAGCTCCAACTCACAAATAGTATGAAAGTCCTTCCAGGTCACTGAATTCATTCAAACTTTTTCAATAACTTGAAAAGCTGACTTTGCCCATTTCTGTTGTTTAGTGTGCCCCACTTGACTCTCAGCAGGTGTAACTTCATGACAGATCATGCATCAGGAGGATCCTGGGTCTAAAAGTCTTTTTCTGCTTCAGACTGTTTGCTCTCTTTCAATCTCTTCAAAGTTTTTTTTTAAATGGAGACAACCCCCAAAAGATTTTCCTTTTCTTTCCCACAGTCACAAAGCCCTCTTCCACTATTCTCCTTGTATTTGCTCTGTCCTAAAGCAACATTTTTCTGAATTGAGATCAACATAATTTGTAATATCAATGAAATGACTGAAATATGCTCTCTCACTGTTTGCTATCCAAAAGAATATCTATCACACCACAATTCCATTGTGAGCTGACTATGAAGGGCTAAGAACAATTTAATGAACAGGAAATTTCCATACAACTTAAGCATGAAGGAAGTTCAGGTTCAGGTCGAAAACCAGACTCCATAAATGTAAACCCTCCAATCCAAGAAACATCACTAGGGTTTGGACACATTTTGGGCTGTAATCTTCAGTGGTAAAATTGGCACAATTTTTACTGATTCTTCAGTCCTTTGAATTCCCCTGACCATAAACATTGGGTTCATGTTCTGCTCTTATTCACGCAATGGCATTAACAGCATTGCAGACCTAGGCACACACCCAGCACTGCACATTCAACCACACAGTGGAACTCAATTTCCAGCTAACAAAGGTACTAGATTCTCAGCTAACATAGGTCAGTATCCATTAAATGCAATTTTAATAACAGAAATGCTTTTATCAGAAGTTCTTGAAAGTGCTTTTATCGGAAGTACTTTGTGGCTTAAGAAATGAGGAAGTTGTTAATATCTTGATTACGGAAACTAGGGAAACCAAATCACATCCAAGGTCATTCAGAAGTTGACCTGTGACATTTAAATGTGGTTTTTTGATTAAAAATATATGCAAGCACACACAAGAAAAGCATGGTTTCACTCCCCTCTACTCTGTTAATTAGTTCCATTATACCAGACAGCTTTGAATAGAAATAAAGTTATGAAACCCAGTTAACAAAACTACGTGCTGCTCCATTTCATCCAATAGCTCAACAGCTAGGTCTGCGACAGGGTTCAGATCTCATCTCTTTTTGCAGGGATTTTAGCCTACATCTTCCAAAGGACACTGTAGGGCTAGGATATTCTTCCACATCCTTTCCTACCAGTGCTGGTACTAAGAGTATAAGGGAAATTGTAATATGCTAGACTAAAGGTCTGACTAGCTTCGTATCCTGTCTCTGGCAGTGGCCAATATGAGATGTTTAGGGTAGAACATAAGAACAGGGAAAGTATATAATGATGCTTCCCACAAATACTCTACAACGGCTTATGACTTCCAGAATGCCTGAGTCAAAGATGGAATCTGTGTATTTACTGATCTCCATAGCAGCTTTTTTCCATTATTATTTCCAGTAGCTGCCAACACACAGCAAAATCCTATAACAGAGTCCTACAACTTAATTATGTGCTATGTGAAGATATAGTTCACTTTGGACAAGTAATTAAACCTTCAGACTGACACTAGGACTCAGCTATGCCACTTCCCAGCTGAAGGCTCACTCACCTAATGCAGTTAGGTGTGGTATTCACATAGGAAGTATTCCTCATTGCATCACATATAATGGAGTAATCCCAAATTATCCAACAGCAAGGTGGTTAAGAAGCTGTTTTGGAAATAGCACACCTGGGTTTCAGTCCCAATTACATATTTAATCATTTAGGAAAGTGAAATAACATCAGTAGGAGAGAGTGGGAGCACCATAAAGAATAGCTGGAGAGTGCACTTTACAGTTCTTTTGGACAAAGGAGGCAACCCAGTCTACCTAATGCGTTCAGAGTTAGTAATCTATTAGATAAAAGAAGGATTTCTCCTCCAGTCTTCAAAAATAGCAAATAATTTCACAGAATCACAGAACATTTCAGGTTGGAAGGCACCTCTGGAGATCATCTAGTCCAATTCCCTGATCAAAGCAGGCTGCCCAGGATCATGTCCAGTTGGGGTTTGAATATCCCCAAGGATGGAGACTCCACAGCCTCCCTAGGAAATCTGTTCCATTGTTGATCATTTACAGTAACTGAGTTTTTCCCTACATTTAAATGGATTTTTCTGTATTTCAATTTGTGTCCCTTTCCTCAAGTCCTTTCACTGGGTATCATTGAGAAGAGTCTGGTTCTGTCTTTTTTGTCATCATCCTTCCCCCCTCTCATAGTCACAGTGTGTGACAGCCATAGAGTGGTTGTTAAACTTGAATCTCATTCCAGTTACAGCTAGGAATGTTTACCCATAGA